TTGGCTCTTGATCGGTAAGATCAACAAACTCTCGTTGTGGAAGAACATCCTTGAGGGTGTGCCATTGATGTACTTGTTCTTCTCCCGAAGTCTCATACTGGAATCGTTCCGTAGTAGTGACGGGCCTCACAGAATGGACTGAGCATCTGAAAAGTTGTTTTCCAACCAAAACCCAGCATATGTGACGTCGGGCATCACTGCCATCTTGGTGCGGAATCACCTCACAAAAGATGACCCTCCCGGGTCCTATCCAGTGTGGCCTCCCGGACATACGGAGACCGCCGCGAGGACCCTTGTATTGCTCCTTGGGCCACACCCGTCGCCAGATCTTGACGAGCTCCATAGGAGAGAACGTCCTCAGAGGTTGTCGCACCGTAGTGTTCGATAGCTTGGAAAGAACTCGTAGTGCTCGAGTTTTGGTGGCCACTGCTTCGGCATGTTGTCGAGCCGTCACCAACTTGAGAAACTCTCCAGGGTAGTCGTTGTTGACAAAGGTCCTGGTGTCTTCATCGGTAATGTCATACTGCTTGCCAAAAGCCCATTGGTAAGCTGAGAATCCGGCGGTATACTCGGTGGCATTCAGTGCCGACGTTGCCAGCTGTAGTGTAATGCGGGGATCTTGATCACGGGCTTCAAGCTGTATGGCCGAAGCATGTATCTTGATGTCCTGTACAACTGCTTCCACCGTTCCATGTGCCCAGTGTTCCTTCTCCGCAATATAGTGCACCTGGATATTCAGGGAGCTGGCAAACTCATGGAAGGCATCGGACACAAAGCTCTTGGCCGAGTCCATCAGAAGAACCTTTGGTTTGGGAAACGTTGCAAGCCACTTGTCCGTCAGTGCCATCATCACTTCCTCAGCGCTCTCCGTGCGCATCTCGAGGAAATCGTAGACGTGTAGTGGTTGAAGCACACGTAGTTTTGTCGTGACATCCACAAAGACCAGGAACTTGACCTTCTTCTTCTGGCTGGGCACCACCCATTCGCCAGTATCCACACCAACAGCATGCCAAGCGGGGTAAAGTGCATGCGTAGTGGCAGGAGGCACTTGACCAGAGCTGGTTCCCCCAGGTTTGAGGCTTTGACAGGAGGGGCACACATGGTTGCGTGCCACTTCTATCTTCCACTTTTCATGGCCAGCTTCTTCGACAATCCGGGCCAGGTTGCGATTGGTAGGATGGCCAGCTGCCTTGTGAAATTTTGCCACCTGGGCCTCCCATTTCCTGTAGGCCTGCTCGTCAACTCCTTCCGGTAGTTGATCTACCTCTGCTGTCAGTAGGGATAGAGATTGTCGTGGTTGATGAGCCCATAGATGAAGAGGCGGAAAGCCAAGTTGTCGTAGGCACTTGCGTTGGGATTCGTCCAGTTGTGTTGCCAGTCGTGTAGTGTAAGCTGAAATGGCTATCCTGGTTCCCGTCCACGTCTGAGAGGCGTGCCAGCACATCGGATCAAATGATATGACCCTGTGTCTCGTAGGCTCCACTCGTCCAGGTAGTACTCGCCCATCTGGAATCCGTCGTCGCACCACTGTACTCGTAGTAGAGGTCGTTCCGGACAGCCATAGACCACCTCCTTCGTAGGGTCCGACACAAACCAGATGGTTGTCTGAGTTCTTGTCGTTGTGGTGGTCCCTGTGTGGAAAGACAGACCGATTGACTGATATCATCACACTTGACCAGGATTGCTCCGGGAGGTGATGCCGAAGAAAGGCATTGACATACTTGAGTAGGGTGATATACCTGAAGGACAGATTGCAGATCCCCTTCATGTGTCCATGGGAGTATGCTCCGAACGTGAAGACACGTCCACCACCGTCACGCCATCTTGTATGCGGAACTGTAGACCTCGGTGCATCGGAGCATTGTTTCATCAGGATCTCCTCAAGCGTGTCAAACGAGAAGTTCTTGTGGCAAAGATGGTAGTTGATCAAGTCTACTAAAGACGTACCTCCTGGGACACACGATTCGCTGGTAGTCGAGGTCAATCCTTGAAGATCACCTCCTGGTGCACACGATTCACTGGTAGTCGATGTCAATCCTTGAAGATCACCCTCTGGTATAAACTCGCTGTCCTCCAGTCCAGCTTCCAATGATTCCAACTCTCCATTGGACCATGTGTCTTCCCGAAGACTGGGAAGATCTTGCCGTAGTTGTAGTAGTTGGTGATGTCGCCTAGGAGCCATCTGATCACACCAGTGCCTCACAATGGACTGAACCATCCTCCAAGGGTAGTACGAAGAGGACGCTGTCTCGAGGTCCTCTTGGACACTGTGTCGTCCATGGCATCCAGGGCAAACTTTGGCACGAAAGCTTTTGTGAAAGCATTCATCTGTAGTTCTCACCATCCATTGTTTCTTCACGAAGAGACCGTCCTGGGGATTCTTCATCCCATAATTGCATCCATCCAGGCGACAGGGTAGCCAGGGGACACCGTGCTCCTCCAGGAAGGCTGCCAAGTCCATCATGGGAGTCTGTTTCCATCCCTGACACTGGGACGGCCACTCAAAGTAGATCTGCACCGTGGGATCTTCCAGCAAGGTTTCCTTGACAAAAGCATTCATCCACCATAACATACGGCGATCACGTCGTTGGTAGCTTGACAATCGCTCTCGGTCCTTGGGACTGTTGTAGTTCATGTTGTTCCAGGTACTCCACTTAGAGCAGGGCAAGGAGAACCATATGCGTGAGGGACGACGCTGCTGACGTAGTTCACGTAGATGTTGCCAAGTGGCCTCCTTGTTCAAGTCATAGCCAGATGGCAGATTGATAGTACGCGGCTGAAGGCCGTGTTCAAGGGCCACAGTGCTCATCCACGAATGAGGTGCACAGGAAACCTCCCATAGTCCATCACGTCCTTCAAGGTGCAGATGAAGTAGTAGCCGAGAGGTCATCGCCATCATCAAAGTCACAGTGCTCATGATCTTCTTTCCCATATAAACAGGAAGAGCATTCTCCTTGGAGGATCTTTTAGTCATTGGCGAAGATCCTTGTCTTGCCAATGTACTCGTAGAAGACGTCCCATCACCGCGATCTTCCTTAGAGCTCGGAGGCGCGAAAGCTGAAGGTGACGAAGTCATTGCTGGTGGTCCAGCGCCGCATAAGCCTCCTCGAGAGTCAGCTCGCGAACCGGTTGGTTGGTCATCGCCCAACTGCCATGAGACTCCGGGCTGTCGGGGCTCGCGGTGGAGTAGCCGGCCGTCGTTGTGACACTTGTAGGATTGATCGTCGCCGGAGTTGCATTGGGCGTGGTCGCCAAATGCTCGTTGATCATCACATTCAAGGTTTCCTCTGCATCGATCTTGGCCTGCGTTGCATGAACCAGACTGGCATGGGGGAGACGATCGCCCAACATTTTGCGAAGTTCGCGAAGACAGCGGGCCACCATCTCCGGGTTCTTGCACTGCGTGGATTGTCCGGTTGATCCGTGTCGGGGAACATAGAGTAGACGAACATCGCACACCTGACAGTGCAGCCATTGGCCATGCTGGTTCCCCTTGGCGGGTCCCGGACTGTGCTGGCCCAGACAGGGCCACTGAGTTTTCGCCGCTCGGGTCCCGAAGGTCGATCTTCTGTGCACGGCTCATGTCCAACGGCTTGGCCTTGGCCTTCGGTTTCGCCTTGGCTGCTTGTTGCAGGAGGGAGTTCACCTCCGGATCCAGGTGGCGAGACGAGGTCGCCGACATCTGGTGAGCGCGAAGAGGAGGGAGTCGAAAACAATCGATTGGCCTCAGGGCCGTACATCGAAGCTTGAGCTGCAACGGCCGAAGAAGTATTCGAAGTTCGACTCGCATCGTAGAGTTGCCACATCCTAGTCTCAGCAACGGATCTGTCTCGTTCATCCAGATCATGATCACAAGCTGCCAAATCAAACCACATGGTACGCAACTCAAGCACTTGCTGCTCCATTCCACATGCCAGGGAAGGACTTGATCGGACTAAGACATGAGCTTGACCTTCCAGGACCTTGACCCCGTTGGTTAAGTACCGGACAATGTCGAGAACGTAGTGCCCTTTCTTGCTCTTATCCAGCTTATAGATGGACGGATTAGGTTCTGAAGTGTTCATAGCAAGACCTGAGGCAAAGTCTATCATCATTCCGACACCACTGGGGCCAAGATGATCCATTCCAATCAGCACTGGTACAAGAGATCCCTTATCAAAGTCGGCTTGGTAGTACTCAGAAGGGTTCGGAAGGACATACAGGGCAAAATGTCGCGGACTTCCCGAAGCTCGGCTACAGAAACGAACCTTGCAAAGTGCCCGACCCCAGCGCCCATTCCCAAACCTGAAGTACGGGCGCGAGGCTTGGTCCATCTCGATCTGAGCGCTACGGTCCTGGGCAAGAACTGCATTGATCAAGCCCTTCACCACAGCTTCGGGTGCAGCGCTGGCCGTGGCACCACAGTCGATCATTCCCACATTTGGGTCCACAGGATCAGGGGAGACAGCGGCCGCTTCAAGAACCATGTCGAGGCCGCCAACGAAGAGCTCGCTCTGGTAGGCATTGACTGGGCGATAGGAGTCCTTGTTCTTGGACTTCCCCTTGCCCTTGGAGCTCCACATGGCGTAGGCGGGATCCATGTAGAAGCCCTTCTTGCCCTTGCTCTTGCCCTTGCCCT